GGACGAAAACCACATTGCTCCTCCTGAATCTGAGGTTCAGCAGTCCAATGGACCCTCCTCTCCAGAACCCCTGAATAGACCTTACCAGGAAGGCTCAGGAGTTTGATCCCCCTGTAGTTGGAACACACCCTGCAGTCCCCCTTTTAAAATAAGGGAACCACCAGTCTGCCAGTCCAGTGGGACTGCCCCCGATGTCCACGCAATATTGCAGAGCCAACACAGTCCCACAACATCCAGAGCCTTAAGGAACTCCGGGTGGATCTCATCCACCCCTGGAGCCTTGCCACAGAGGAGCTTTTTAACCACCTCAGTGACCTCAGCACCAGAGATTTGAGAGGCCAACTCAAAGTCCCCAGACTCTGCTTCCTCACTGGAAGACATGTCGGTGGGATTGAGGAGGTCTTCGAAGTACTCTGCCCACCGATCCACAACGTCCTGAGTAGAGGTCAGCAGCACACCGTCCCCACCATAGATAGTGTTGGTAGTGCACTGCTTCCCCCCCCCCCCACCCCACCCCACCCCCCCCCCCCACCCCACCCACCCACCCCCCGAGGCACCGGATGGTGGACCAAAATCTCCTCGAGGCCATACAGAAATCTTGCTCCATGGTTTCACCAAACTCCTCACATGCCCAGGTTTTTGCCTCGGCGACCACCCGAGCCACGTTCTGCTTGGACTGCCGGTACCCATCAGCTGCCTCTGGAGTCCCACAGGCCAAAAAGATCTGATAGGACTCTTTCTTCAGCTTGACAGCATCCCTAACTGCTGGTGTCCACCAGCGGGTTCAGGGGTTGCCACCACGACCACCTGCGACCATAGCTCCGGTCGGCCACCTCAACAATGGAGGCACGAAACAGGGTCCATTCAGACTCAATGTCCCCCGCCTCCCCCAGAACATTTTGGAAGTTCTGTCAGAGGTGGGAATTGAAGCTCCTTCTGACAGGAGACTGCCAGACGTTCCCAGCAGATCCTCGTGATACGTTTGGGCCTTTCTGGTCCAACTGGCATCCTCCCCCACCATCTGAGCCAACTCACCACCAGGTAGTGATCAGTTGACAGCTCTGCCCCTCTCTTCACCTGAGTGTCCAAGACATGCGGCCGCAGGTCAGATGAAACAACAACAAAGTCGATCATCGAGCTGCGGCCTAAGGTATCCTAGTGCCAAGAGCACATTTGGACACCTTTATGTCTGAACATGGTGTTCATTATGGACAATCCATGACTGGCACAGAAGTCCAATAACAAAACACCACTCGAATTCAGATCGGGGGGGCATTCCTCCCAACCACACCTCTCCAGGTATCACTGTCGTTGCCCACGTGAGCGTTAAAGTCCCCCAGCAGAACGAGGAAGTCACCGGAAGGAGCGCTCTCTAGCACCCCCTCCAAGGTCTCCAAAAAGGGTGGGCAGTCTGAACTGTAGTTTGGTGCATAAACACAGACCACAATCAGAACCTGTCCCCCCACATGTAGGCAGAGGGAGGCTACCCTCTCATTCACTGGGGTACACCCCAACGTACAGGCACCAAGATGGGGGCAACTAGTATGCCCACCCCTGCTTGGCACCTCTCAATGGAAGCAACTCCAGAGTGGTAGAAAGTCCAACCCCTCTCAAGGAAACTGGTTCCAGAGCCAGAGCCATGCGTTGAGGTGAGTCAGACTATATCTAGTCGGAACCTCTCAACCTCACACACCAACTCAGGCTCCTCCCCCACCAGAGATGTGACATTCCATGTGCCAAGAGCCAGCTTTTGTAGCCGAGGATCAGACCGCCAAGGTCCCCACCCTCGACTACCACCCATCACACACTGCACCTGACCCCTTTGGCCCCTCCCACGAGTGGTGAGCCCATGGCAAGGGGGACCCACGTTTCCTCTTCGGGCTGTGCCCGGCCAGGCTCCATGGGTGAAAGCCCGGCCACCAGGCGCTCGCCAATGTGCCCCACCTCCAGGCCTGGCTCCAGAGGGGGACCCCGGTGATCCACGTCCAGGCGAGGGAATACGGTTTCCATTTATATAATTCATCATAAGAGGTCTTCGGGCTGCTCTTTGTCTGATCCGTCACCTAGGACCTGTTTGCCATGGGTGACCCTACCAGAGGCATAAAGCCTCAGGCAACTTAGCTCCTAGGATCATTGGGACGCTCAAACCTCTCCACCACGATAAAGTGGTGTTGTTTATATACATATATATAACAGCAGTATGAACAGAGAGCTGGGTTGAATATCAAAAAGCTTGTTTTGAACCTGAAACATACAGGATGTGCAAAATTCAAGCTCCTCCCAATGAGCGACCTTATTCTCATGAAGTTAAATCTCATAGCCCTTCGGTTTCTCATAGCTCTTCCGATGTTTTCCAGTGCAAACATTACCACAGAGCCTCCTAGAACAACACATAATAATCACCTTGAGCTTGTGTGTTTTATCTTGCGGGGGAGCATGTTTTGAAAGGAACTCATCCACCTCCTCTCTTTATTATTTCACAGGGTGACAACAACCCGACCAGGAAAACGAATAAACACACTTTGCACCTAGTTTTCAAGAGTCAGTCCTCTAAGTCAGTCACTAAGGAAAATTTCATTATTAAAATATCTTGTAAGAAATGCATTAAATTTAACAAATCAATCGATTTAAATATTATATTTTAGGCTTTGTATTTTTAGCAACCGTGGCACAAATAGAATGGGTAATTTATTTATTTTTTCATTAATAAACCTACACTGATTTAAGGAAGCATTAGTGTATGGCGTTATCAGGAAAGAGTCACATGATCTGACAACAAACAAGTGTGATAATTTATTCATTTGTTATTATATTTTGTCGAAGCAAGTGGATCTTTTTGGTTTGCGGCTTATTAGTATTAGCTCGTTGTTAGCGCTAGCTACAGCTGGTTGCTGCAGGGCTGTTTATGACAGTTGTTATTCCATTTTCAACCAGTAGGACGGAGAAGCTGGAAACTGTTTAGTGTTACTTTAAACAGCTGACTTTGTTTGTTGGGGTCACTTTCGATTACTGTCTGGTCCCCTCTTGGCTTGCCCCTGGGCTCTAGTCCCGTTACTTCATGGTCACGATCATGTGGTCAGCTTGGATGGGTCTCATTTTTGCTTTTTGCAGGTAACATGGTTACGCAGGCACCTTCAAGCCTTGACCTTGATCCGTGAAGCAGCCAGAATTAAAAACAGCTCCTCTAAGTCGAGTTGCTGCTTTTCCGTTAATCAACGATTTGTTTCTTTAACCTTTTGTAAGGCCAGCATCTATATTTAGACACTTCCTCACACATCATAAATGATGTCAGAAGGCCTTTTTAAAGACCCTTAGGGCCTTGATACACTTGCTGTTTGACAACACGAATGCGTGATTAAAATGTCTGCCACGCGTTACTTGCGTGTATTTGAACGTTGTTTGTGCGCGTCCCTTGAAATTAACGGGTCCAAACGCTGCAATATATGAACGACCAGTAGGTAGTCAATAAAACTGGTTTAGAGGTCTTTCATTCCATCTTTGATACCACTGCTTTCTCTTTTTCTGCTGTGAACTCAAAATTATTTAGTTACTGATCTCTTCTATTGACGCCATATTTGTTTTGGTTGTACCCACAAACCCGGCTATTCGTCTGGTCTGAGTAGACTAGGGCGCCCCCTAGTAGAACACCCCAGTACTACGAGCAGTACAGTGCTGTGCAGCAGCAAGTATGTGAACAAAGATGCAGTCTTGTGCCTGCGCCAACACAAGCTTAAACAGCAAGTATATCACGGCCCTTACAATTACAACATTTCACCAAACCAATCATCAGAGATCAAGCGGCTCAGTTCTTGCAATGTTGCCGTACGAACAATCAGCGTGGGGCTATGACATACCAAATACTGGTGTGTCACTCAGGAAAACTAGAACCTTCTTGCAGCTTGGTGTCCTCTCGTGTTTACAGTCAGATCTCTAAAACTAAAAATGGCAGGTTTATGAAACTTTCCCATTTCACAAGGTTGACTAGTTGTACTAAATAAGGGTGTATAAAAATTAGGGGTGCATCGGTTGCAGTTTTTGGCCAGTCGCCGTTCTTGAGAAAAATCCGACTTGCTGACACAGACTTTTGCCAATACAGATTTTGTCTTAATTAAAAGCAGATTACATCAATCTTTCAATTTCCTTTTATTGACAAAACCAATGTGAATACTCATGAAGCAATACCCGTTTCAACTGGACATGAGGTAATGTTCTCAAATATAAGTGAACATATTTAGCATTGCTGTTTGAACTAAAAAAGTCATATTTGTTCCTTTAGACATTTTCATTTTTCTAATTTTGAAAACAAAACTTTTGTACCTGTCTTGACACACTTGTACAAAAAAACTATTCTATAGCAATGATTTGCTTTAACATTAACTAGGAGTGCAACAATTGCAGTTTTTGGCTGATCACCGATCTTGAAAAAAAAACAGATCAGGCCAATAGATCGATGCACCCCTAATATAAATGTTACACTCAATGAATTATAAAATAATGGCATGGAAATAAGAGCAGCCATATTTGAATCTAAGCCATGAACAAGTCAAATATACTATGTATATTTTTAGGTAAAATTGATTGTTTTTTAGACATTCTTCATATTGATGGTATAACAGTAATAATAACACTTATAAAATTCAAAATATTTTTTCTGTTTTAAACTAAGAGTTGTAGAAAATGGAGGAGTTGTTGTGCCACCCAATCTCACCATCAGTGATGATGATGATGATGACTGACCATGATGATATATATATATATATATATATATATATATATATATATATATTATATATATATATATATATATATATATATATATGTGTGTGTGTGTGTGTGTGTGTGTGTGTGTGTGTGTGTGTGTGTGTGTGTGTGTGTGTGTGTGTGTGTGTGTTTATTTTTGTTATATACCACAATAACACCCTGGGGTTGAAATTTAAAGTTTACTTCAATGAGTGCCATATAAGGAGTTAAAAGTGGGCGACGTGTTTCCATAGTAACGACTAAAAGGCTCGCGAGAGGCAGTTTTGTCTGAACAAACTAACCTAAACAGAAAGAGTAACTTTAAGATTGTTTTACTCGATTTTCTTCCACAGGCGTGCCTAAGAAGATGGCTGCTGCTGAGATGGCTGCATCCCGGTGAGTTCTACTCATTTTTAAGAAAACTAAAATTGCGGCAGTTCTGGCCGTGACCCGGTTGCGTGTGTTTGCGTGACACCAGGAAGCGGATGGACGTACTCTCAGGTGTCGTGCCGGAATTGAAAGACATCGCGTCTGCGATCGATCACCTGACGAAGGAGGACGAAGCTGAGGAGCTGAAAAGATCTCTGGAGGACCGCAAACAGGTCGGAGAACCCAAACGGAGCCGCTATTCTGCTCCTAAATGTGCAAAACACACGTCAAAGTACTTTTAAAAATCCCGAGTTGGACTTGAAACTGTAAATGGAAAACAATCAACTTGAGGTGGAAATTAAAAGCACTAATTAAACACTTTAAGGCGGGTGCCTAAATCTTTGCTCATATTTTAACAGAACAGCAAATCAACAACTCTTTAGAGAGGAATTAAAAATGAGACATTTATAAATATAAGGTCCAGCCATTTAAATTAAACATAAAAACTTAAATAATCCATCATCAAATGAAAGGGGGAAAAAAACGGTTTCATCAAGAAAACAATGGAAACACTACTTAATTAAAATAATTTAAAATATTAAAAATGGGGGAAAATTGAAAGTATGTCAGCAGGTCTTGAGCATATTGCACAGGTTAAATCGGTAATGCTGATTTTTCAGTACTGTTCTCTGTTTTTCTGAAGTTCAAAGGTTTGATTAACTCAGAAATTAATTTAACCCTTCACAATAAGAGTCCAAAGCTTATAATAGTTTATTATACCTCTATAATAAACAGCGATATTTTTAAAAAGAACAAGGGCATAGTTCATTCTGCATTCAGTGCTGAAGTATGTAGCTGTGAGCCATAAAAAGGCTGTGATTTCAGTTGAGGTATACAAAATGTATGTAAAGTTTATTAATATTTTAAGAATCTTCCTCCTTACTAGTGTGTTTAAATCAATGAAATCATTTGACTAATTAGATTTCTAATGTTTTCTTATGCAGACTTTACAGAATTCGAAGCAGGAGCAGAAGGAGCTGCAGGAGAGCATCAGGGAAGTGAGGCACAATGTGTTTATGAAGGTGAGATCTCTCAGACACGTGCTATAATTCAGATGTGTTGGTGGGGCTGGAGCAATAAGGGCATTCCTCCATACCATTCTGATTCAGGTTCTTCATAGCGAGAAAGTTCGGCAGATAGCTGAGAAGGAGATGAAGATGATGCAGGAAGTGGATGCAGAGACAGAGAAGCTGAAGAAGGAGAAAGCCACACTGATGAAGAGGAAGGAGGAGATGCAGAGGGAGATTGGGACATATTCACCGTATAGGGACTTCCTGGAGGACGTGTGTAAAACATCAGGGGTACTGCTTTTTATTAAAGTAACTTTAACCTCTTATTGATTCACTAAACTATCGGATAGCAATTAGGAAACAGTTCAGGCCTCTAAGATGGATGCATGTGTTTTATTTGAGATATTCATAAATCATCTGAAACATTTTCCACAATGACCTGAGTTCTGATTTATAGCCGTTAGATTTTCACAGACCAGTGTCTGTGAGATGTATTTGCACCCATTTTCTCCACCCATCTAAGGTCAGAGCAAGGAGGTACAGGTACTTTAAGGATATCAGACCTCCTCTCCTGAGGGGTGTTCTCCAGCTCCTCCTGGAGGATGTCATGGGTGTCATTGGAAAGAGACCAGAGAACCTCCACAGGGAAGAGACCAGGAGGCCTCGTCTTCAAAAACACCTCGCCATGTCTTTTTGATTAGGAGGAGCAGCTCCTCTTCTTTTCTCCAAATGCTGAGCTCAAGCATTCTACGGATGAAGATCATTTTAGTTGCTTGAGTCAGGTTCTGATTCTCCTGATCTCGTGACCACAGAGGAGAGTTTAGATTGACCAGTGAGTCCTTCTCTCTTTCTCTGTGTGTACTCCAGCACAAAAACGCTGACGACTTTGCCACCTATTATCGCAACATGCTCAGCCTCAAAGAGAAGTTCACTGAGGAGAGGAAGCAGAGGCAGGAGAAAAAGGAGCATCTGACAAAGGAGCTGCGAACTGTGGAGGAGCAAAAAACCCTACAATGGCTGCAGAGGACCAACCAACTGGCTGAGCTGGAGGAGGAACTGAAGAAAGCTCAGTCTGAGACGCTGAAATGGGTACGAGTCCTCCTGAAAACACCTGCTTAGAGAGGAGATCCTTCTGACTCCTTCTAAATGATGGTTCCTGTTCTTTTGCAGGAAAGGGAGTGGAGTCGTATCCAGACAATGAAAGCAGAGAGCGCGCAGACCCAGAACTGCATTAAGTTTTCAATCCAAAACACTTATGAAATGTGCGGTTACAAGATCACAGATCAAAATGTGGATGACACAACCAGACAGCTGAAGGAGGTACGGGCCTTCACACAAACACAAAATATGCAGAGCAGCAGGAACAATCACAATAGCTGTCATTTCTCCTCCTCAGATAAAAGCCTTCATCCAGGAGATATCTGAAATTACGAAACAGTACCAGAAAAGCCTCCAGTCCTGATGAGCAACCCTTCACACGACTGCTGAGAGCACTTCTGCATCTTCAGTTGTTCATGTTTTATTTGCCTTGTTTCAATTACATCTTGATTTTATTGTGTGTTGTACATTCTGTTGGAATCGGCGTTCGACCTCATCGTGGCCTCAGCCTTGATGCATTTCTGAGTTTAAAAAAAGTTTCATCGACAGTTAACTTAAAATAGTTTAAGGTGAAATATTAGTGTTGTCCCTGAGAAGGGAAATGTTGAGGTTTCCCTCAGATCTGTCCTGATGAGGCTGGTTTCTGTATTATTAATAAATATATAATAAATGTTTCTCTGCATTAATCTGGTGGCTAATCCATCGCTGCTTTTTAACGCTCAGCCTGACCTTTGGCCCTTTAATCTGCTGCCTATAAAACGTGAACTCTGCAACAACCTGCATCTTTTTTTTATTTAAACCTTAACATGTTAAAACCAACTAATGGATAAAAAAACAAGCATTCAGAGTTTTATTGAAGTTGGACACAAAGCAGAAGACTAATTAGTGTGAAGCTGGACTTTGTCACGCTGACCACTAAAGAGATTTAAACCCTAAGAATAGTCAGACGGGATAAATCCGTTCAGGGAGACTCCGGGTCTGAGCAGGTGAGAACACTAGGACTCGCTTTTATCCGTGGAACAATCATTTTAGCTGAAGCTTTCAAGCAGAAGCCAGAGACAATGAAACAACATCATGTGAGAGTTTATCCAAGCTGTGTTCATCATCATCACCACTTTTATCTGTTTTCTTCATTAGTCAAATTAACCCAACTTTTATAAAAATAAAAAATAAAAGAAAATATGCATTGGGTGTTTTTTAAAAAGGTACAAAGTAATCAAAATAAGATTTATATTATATTAGATCTCAGTTTTAAATTTATTCTAAAAAGAAAAACAACACGCTGAGAATTTTTTTAAATTGATTATTTCTGATTATAATCAGTCTGTCAGGGTTTTTCATGCAAGCTGAACATGAAAATAGTTGTGTTAGTTTCTGATAGAAAATAGATGGTGTAACTCTTGATTAGAAAAAAATGACAGATCTACATCACATTGTCACTTAACATTCATTGGCTCACCCATGTAGACTCCAGTCAGGGAAGGCTGTTTTTGGTTTAGCGTCCAGGAAACAGCAGGCCACGTCCCGACTAGTAAAAGCTAACCGTTAGCATTAGCAACTCCATCACACAGAAGAACTCCTGGCTTGTGAATTTTTTTTTTGGTTTTAAAGCATCAACGTTGCGATTCAGGGGTAGAATCATGTTGCTCTTATCTAATCTGAGGTGAGATGTCCAAATATCAGGAAATAACACTGCAAATATCACTGTTTGCTGCGTGCTGAAAGCAATTGTGGGCTTTATTTGCCCTAAGTACGGCTTGCAAGGCGTTCACTCCTACCAGAGTCCGCTGCAAATGTATTGATTAAACAAGCTTCCCACACCCTTAAGTCATTTTAGTCATCAAGCCCATCTGCATTCGGGAATTTACTTTACTTTCTTTCTGTTAAATGAGACAGTTTTAAGAATATTTTAGGATTGTAATGCACATCTGGAATGATTTTAAAATTACGCTAAGCTGCCAGAATTAAGGTTTGTGGTTTGAGGAGCTGTTTTAGGTAGAGACGACGTTTCCTGAAGTTGATCGAGTCAGAGATGAAACCAGGTGTGGGGTGTCCCTATGGGGCACAGAAAACCTCCAGAGGAACTAGCAGGAGGCATCCTATCAGCACCACCTCAGCAGGAGAGGCAGTCCTAAAGCTCTGGTAAAAGAGATGAGTTTATTTTTTCTTTTGGACAGTAAGCAGTTGTCCATCAGGACGTCTCCTTTGTGGCAACATTGTCCAGCCTAAGCAGCTCCAGGAGCCTCGGGTCCTTTTCTGCTCCCTCGATAAATGTCCCCCTAACAAATCTCACCTGGAAAATGTAAAGACAGCCGATGAAAGGCACAAATCATATTTTGAGGCAGATTCACTGTCTGTTTCTGCCCTCTGCACACTCTGATTTCACATAAAACATTTCACCTCTGTGGCTGCAACAACTGCTGCACAGAAAACAAATGGACGATCCTCATCAAGGTCTCCAGAGGGTGTAAAATGCACCAATATAGTACAAAAACATGTTAAAGACAATTAATTTCAAAGACATTGATTAAAATTAGCAGATGTGGAAACGTACGTGCTGCTTCTCCTTCTGGCTGTACTTCTCCCTGTCAGAGGCCAGCAGGTCTTTGAGATTGTCCGTCAGCTCCTGTTCCATTCTTCTGCTTCTCCTACTTTCTTGGTCAGACTCTGCAGCAACACCTGGTGCTCCTGCACCTCTCTGCTGCCCTCCACCACCCGAGGAGGAGGCACAGCTCAGTAGTGGTGTGTCAGGTGTTAAATTTGTCAGAGCATTTTACCAGGCTAGCCTTGTTCTGTGGAGCAGGAGAGATGTGAGGACCTCCTGCCAATCCAGTCTGCAGGTGGATGGCTTCTGTCTCTGCCAGCCAGCCTGTTGTCGTTCTCCATCACCATGGCGTCGATCTCTTCACCATGCTGTCACTTCAGCTCTTTTCTCTATGAAGATTCATAGAAGAAACTTTAATCCCAGAAAACCAAACTTTGTTAAAGTTATCAGACAAAAACAGGCTGGAAAAAAATAAGTTTGTCTCCAAATGAGTTAAAAAAAATTTAAAATGTTTTACTGCTTTATTTCTTGTGGAGGTTAAATGATTAGCAGAAATCTAACTGCTGTTTAAAAGCTCGGTTCTGTGTTTTTCTGTTTGAAGAGAATAAAGAAACCCAGCTGCTGTTTTCTGAACAAACTCAAGGAGTATTTGTTACAGGACAGGTGTGTTCGAGTGAAGAAATGCCTGAAATAAACTCTTTTAAATGCAGTCTTTAAGGACAGAAATCACACATCAAAACATAAAATTTAATCTATCAAATAAAACTTCTCAGAAAAGTCCACAGAACAACAGATCTTGGGCGCTACAACTGTAAAAGCAAGTTCTCATTCAGAAATCTCTAAAAGTTGGTCACCATGCTCTTTGAGGAAACATTTAACCAAAACCTCAAAATTGTTTTGTTTTATTTCCCCCTTTTTTGTTTTGTTGTTGTTGTTTTTGTTTAATCCAAGGTTACAAACCTTTTTTCTGTTCAAGAGAAAACCTCCAGAGTAAAATTATTTTCACCTTTGCTCCAGTTCCTGTCTCATTGTGTGAGCTGATGCTAAAGTTCCTCAACCTGGCATGATCTCCGTCTGATGAACCCTGAAGGGAAATATTAAGTTCAGTCAGTGTTCCAAACTAGCTCTGGAGCACTTCCACCCTCTGGTGGTGTAAATGAGACCCAACAATGGTGACATCTGTCTCAGACGGAGACTTTGGCCTTGCTTTGGAGGCGCAGCTTTGAAAGTTTGGCTTCACTCATTACAGTTAATTTAAAAACAATATATTTCAACACTCTTAAACCTCCCCGTGTTTTCTGGGGGAGAACTGCACAAACTGAATAAATTATTTGTCCCAATTGTTCATTTATGTTTTCTATTAGGGCTGCTTTAACATGAAATATAGAATTTGATTATATTGCTCAATAACTTCCAAAAATTGGTGAAAACTGAAACTCTAAGATCAATCAGTCATTTTTATTGTTATGTATTTTTGACTAAACTTAATAGTTGTGAGAGTTTAAAATGTTATCAAATCTAATGTCTAAAAAGGAGACATTTGTATTAAATTGCTTAAACAGTCAATGCAGTGTATCATTTAATTTTTGTAATCAGCTTTAAAGGTGTGGTTGACTGAAAAATCATTTTTTATGATTATTTCTGATCATAACTGGTCACTCTGTTTTTAATGCAGGCTGAACATGAACAGTCCTACACCTATCTCCTGTGTTAGCTTCTGAAAGGAAATAGATGTTGAAATGCTAGGATTTGAAAATCGTCACACTGTGATGTCACACTGTGAATTTGCATTCATGGCCTCGCTCATCTTGGCTCGCTCCTGCCCACAGGAAGGCTTTTTGTTATTTTTTGCAGTATGTTAGTGTTAGTGATTTTGCAACATGGCTGAAGACATTCTGTCAGCCAATCAGAAGTGAGGTGTGTGCATATTATTAATAATAATGAGTAATCCTGCTGTTTTCAGCTCACCTTTGCACCAGCAAACGTCTGCATCTTCGAACAAGATCATCATAGTTGTTTTTAATGACTCATAAGGCATTGATTTAAACTAGATAACACTGCAAACATATTGAATAAATGAGTAAACCACACCTTTAAGGCTGCAGGTCTCCTTTATTGTATTGTTATGATAATAAAGACAATGAAAAAAAAAACTTTCAGCTTGTTTTATCTTAAGACGTTGGTGTGTTTGTGTGCATGCTTATTTATTCAGATAGTTCAGGGAAATGCACATGGGGAGACTGAGTAGAGGACACACTGCTTTAATAGAATTCAGTCCTCTGCAGCAGGATGGTGCTCTAAATGCTGCTGGATCTTCTTCTCTCTTCCAACTCCTTCTTGGAGTTCATCAGAATAATTTTATCTAAAATAATACCAAATAACCAGACTGTCACTAAACATGTTCCCTCAGAGGTGCAGAACTGACACGTTCCTCTTCCGTCTTCACTCACATGTCGTTCAGACATTACTGGCTCTTGTTCATGCTCTAACTATCTGAACTCCTGTCTGATGATCTGGGTTGGTCCAGGCAGTCTGACATTTCAATACTGGGAAAACAAGAAGAAACGTGGGCTTCAGGAGGCAAAAGAATTACAGAAAAGGCAGATTTCCCCCAAATGTTAAGTAAAATATTTTGTGGTTTTGCACTGAAAGTTACTTTTACAATTATTTTACTGTATGCAAATTCAAAAACGGTGATGCATGGTTTTGGATTTAAGTGTCCATCCATCCATCCATCCATCCATATTATCGGTTTGTGTGGGCAGTAGGCTAAGTAGGGAGGCCCAGACATCCCTCTCCCCAGCCACTTGGGCCAGCTACTCCAGGGGAATCCCAAGGCACTCCCTGGTCAGCAGAGAAACATAGTTCCTCCAGCGTGTTCAGGGTCTTCCTTTAGGTCTCTACCAGGTTGGACATGCCTGGAAAACCTCACCAGGGAAGCATCCAGGAAGCATCCTAACTAGATGCCTGGGCCACCTCAACTGGCTTCTCTCAATGTGGAAGAGCAGTGGATCTACTCCAAGCTCCTCCTAGATGACTGAGCTTCTCACATTATCTCTAAGGAAGAGCCCAGACACTCTGTGGCGGGAACTCATTTCAGCCGCTAGTGTTCGCAATCTCATTTTTTTTTGGTCACTACCC